ACTAGGAGGACGGCAATCTGGTCGGCCGCGTCAAGACAGTCGTCCCGCGGGCCGTCAAGCAGAGATTCCGCCGGAACAGGCGGAAGAGACCCGTGCGCCAGGGACTGCACAAGCAGGAGGGCACGGAGGCTCTCCGAGAGCCTCCATAACTGGCCGAGCGTCGCCTCCGGAACCTCGGCGCGCGGGGGAAGGAGCTCCTCCGCCAGAGAAGGGAGCTGTAGTCGAGGAAGTCCAGCCCCACCACCACGAGCAGGGGCCGAGGGAGTCGGCAGGGACACCGCGGGCGTCGGAGCAACCACGGGGCGAGCGACCAGAAGGGGAGCAGACGGCGTTGGAGCCGCACGTCGCGAGCTGTTCTGACTCGCCGGGCCGGCCTGACTGTCGCGAAACGCCTCAGTCACAATCTGCCGCACGTCCGCGATTGTTGCTGGCGCGTCCAGCCACCCGCCACGCCCGCGACCGCGACCCCCCCTCCAACCACCCTGGTGCGCATGCCAGTTCGCCTGCGGCTGCCGTCGGCGAGGAGAATCACGCCGCCGACGAGACACATCCCGCTCATCTTGGGGGGAGGGCGAATGAGGATGGGAGTTACGCTGCTGCACAGCCGGAGGAAGGGCATGGGCAGACGCGGAAGCCGCGGGGAGCGGAGGGGCAGACTTCCCGCCCGGTGCATCAAGGGATGCAGCAGGAGACACCACGGGTAGCGCCACAGGCGCAGGAGGAGGCGCCACGCCAGACGCAGGTGCCACCCCAGCAACAGCCGCCGTCTCAGCAGGTGACGGCAACACCGGAACGTGAAGCGCGGGAGAGGGCGCCGCGCCAGGAGCAAGGAGAGGCGCCACGTCAGCCGCAGGCGCCAGAACGAAGGCAGGCACAGGCGCCGGCGCCACTACGCACGGTTGGATGGCCACACCCACCGACTCTCGTCCAGAGTCGACTACCGTGGAGCACGCGTGAGCAGGAGAACCCGTGACAGACATTGCCGCAACAGGGGCAACCGGCGCCGACTGTACCGGCGAGCCAAGCGCAGCTAACGCCACGCCAAACGGCCGCGGCGAATACGGCACCGGGGAACCGCCACCAACCGCCACAGGCATTACGTGGAGGCAGAGGCGGGCGGCAGCGAGCTGCGGGGCGTGGCCGAGGACGGGAGAACGGCTTCCAACGGGCGGCGAGGCGGGCTTTAACAGATGCGGAAGTCAACAACGCGTCGGAGGATGAAGCAGATGAGGCACAAGACCCCACCTTTATCGCCCAGCCAGCCACTGAATCAACCACGGAAGGAAGTGGTGGGGATGAAGGTGAAGCTGCTCCAGTAGTGGAGAGTCGAGTGAATGTTGCAACACCCGCCCGAGCCGCATCTGCACAAATTGGAATTGGGGGGGAACCAAACGCAGACGCACCCCATACCACCACACCACCAACACGCCAATTCTCGCCAGAACAGCTGGCGAAGGACATGATCCGCTTCAACGAAATTCGCACCTGGGACCTGACACCACTACGAGACAGTAGTCAGCCCCCCCTCTCCCGCAAAATTCCGCACGAAATCCGCACCAGTTTTGCAAACGCGCTGCTGACACCCCTGCTGCACCTCGCACGCCACCCTGACTCAGTACCGGGATGGCGCCTGTTACTCTTTCTTCCCCGCCTAATCCTTCGCCAGGCGAAACCAGGGAAGCCTGATTGGCCCGCAGTGAAGTTGCGACTTCGTCAGTTTTTCAAGGGCGAAGGGGAACAACTGTACGAGGCAGCCGTGGCAGCGGTCAACTCCCCCCCAGCGCCACGTCACCAGCCGGACGATTTGGGAAAACGTGCCAGAGCAGAAGGACTTGTTCGAAAGGGCAGCCTTCGGCGGGCCATCCTAGCCCTCGAATCTACACCCGTGGCAGATCCAACGCCGGAGATACTGGATTCACTTAAATCCAAGCACCCACCCACGCCACCCGGACACATTGACTAGACACCAACGGACGAGGCCCACGTGGTGACCATCACCTCAGCTGCATTCGCGAAAATCCTATGCCGCTGCGAAAACGGAGTGGGGGGAGGGCCGTCGGGGATGACGTTCGAACACCTCAGGGATGCAGCTATCGCCAACGCAGCTGTTACCACCCACCTCCACGCCCTCGTCAACACAATACTCCAAGGGAAACTCCCCGAAGAGGTGTGCTCCTTGCTCACGTCCTCCCCCCTAATCGCTCTCGCCAAGCCAGAGGGAGGGACTCGGCCCATAGCCGTAGGAGAGTGTGTTCTATGCCTCGCGGAAAAATTGGCACTTTCCTCACTAGTAGAAGCGGCACGAGCCCATTTCCTCCCACTCCAGTACTGCATCACCGTCCAGGGAGGTAGCGAGGCGATAATCCACGCCGCCAGATCATACATGAGCACGCACAGTGACGCCACGATTCTCCAGGCGGATCTCTCAAACACATTTAATAGCATCAGTCGCGAGGCAATCGTAGCGGGCCTACGTGGAAGTACGCTAGAAGGGATCCTCCCCCTAGTTCACTCCTCTTACGGCGCGCCGTCAGAGCTACTTCTCGACGCCGGCTTTAATAGCCCTCCCATATCCAGCATTACAGGGGTCTGCCAGGGCGACCCCCTCGGGCCCTTGCTCTTTGCCGCGGGCATCCACCCGTCCCTCGCCGCGACCGCAGCCGCCTTCCCGACCGTGCTCTGCCTCGCATTCGCTGACGATGTCACGTTCCTAAGCAGAGTGGCGGAGTGTACAGCGGCGTTGACCCACTTCACGAGCAGCCTCCGTAGCATGGGGCTCAGGCACAACGCGAGGAAATGTGCGGCGTGGAGCGCTGTTCGACCACCGGAGGGGGCCTTGCCGGAAGGGGTCCCATTCTGCCACGACGGACTGCGTGTTCTGGGCAGTTTCATCGGCACGCCAGATGGAGCAGCAGCATATATTCGGGCTCAGCTGCAAGCCATGACAACCCCTCTCCCGCAGATAGCCGACCTAGAACCACAGGCAGCATCACTGCTACTGACGAGGTGCATCTCGAGGTGGATGTCATACCTCGCGCGCACAACTTCACTCACCCTTCTGCCCGAAGAGGAATGGTCACGGTGGGGCCAGAAGCCGCTCCACACACTGCTCGACGCCTGCGGCGTGCGCCACTCAAGGGGGGGATGCGGAGGAACAACGCGTGTGGGACCAGGCTTCCCTCCCCCCGAGCCTGGGAGGCCTGGGGCTGGTGGACCCATCGGTGGAAGGGCGCTACAGCTACATGGCAAGCTTTGTCCAGGCGCACGGACTCCTAGCCTCCCTGCCCGGCCCCGCAGGAGCTCACCTCTCCACCGCCCTGAACTGGACAGAGGAGGTGGACCCGGACCCGAACCAACTGCAAACCTGGCTTGGGGAGTGCAAGGCAAGCCTCACACAGGAGGGACGTGACCTGCTGGCGGCAGAAATGGCAGCACCCAAGGGACAGCTGCAGCACCGCCTTGCCCTCTTAGTCCAGGGTGGACGAAGTGCCGCTCAAGTTGCAGCGTCACGGCATATGGAGCTGAACCCCCTATGCGGCCACACCCAGTGGCTATTCTCCCTCACTGGCTACGGTGCGGGGGACTGGCTGATAGCCATCCCCTACATGCCCTCCCTCCGCCTCGATCCTGACCTCTTCTCATTCGCCCTCCAGTTCTGCCTAGGACTGCCTCTCCCCGTCCCTGACAGCTGCGACTGCACAAAGAGAGTCGCCATAGCAGACAAGCGCCTCCCCAACCACCTCCTCCGCTGCGGCACAGGGCACGGACGGACTAACACACACAACGAGCTGAGGGATGAGTGTGTGCGTATGGCTCAGGACGCAGGGTTCATAGTGCACAAGGTGAGCATGGCGTTTAGCCCGGTCGACAACAAGAAGGCCGACCTGGCCATTTGGGACAGAAGTAGTGGGGCGGTGTGGCTGGGTGACATAACCATCACCGACCCTATCAGCAAACGAGACGAGACTGCCAGGAAGGGATGGGGATGGGCAGCAAGGGAGGCAGCAGATAAGAAAATCGGGCTATACCACGGCAGGGCTGAATTTGCGGGCTTTTACCCGCTGGCAGTCGAGACCTATGGCTGCCCGTGCGACGAGGTGCAGGCTTTCCTGAAGCACCTGGCGGACAGAGCAGCATGCTTACACTTCAACGCGGACCCCTCAAGCTTCCAGGCCGCAAAGCTGCTGCACCAGTTCCGTCAGCGGTGGTCTATCGCCTTGCAAAGGGCACAAGCAGTGAGCTTCCTTATCAAGATGAACGTGGCAGCCCAGAAGGAGAACCCAGCCTTAGGAGGCCCCGAGGGGGTCCTGGTCCCCGGGGAGTGCTTTGCTACCCTAAAACCAGGCAATGGTAGCGAGTAGAAGACTTGGGGGGGGGGGAGGGGAAGGGGTAGGGAGGAGAATAGTTAGACATACCTGTTTGTTGCTTGCTTGCTTGCCACTGCTGTATCTCTTTTCTATATCGATACATAGGTCTGTTCGAGAGAGAGAGAGAGAGAGAGAGAGAGAGAGAGAGAGAGAGAGAGAGAGAGAGAGAGAGAGAGAGAGGCCCTAGGAGCTAGTCCTTAGCATTAGCTAGCATTGTTCGGTTCTTCAGCATTAGCTTCTCCTAACCGAGCGGGAAAGAGAGCGAGAGAGAGAGAGAGAGAGAGAGTGAGAGAGAGAGAGAGAGAGTGTGAGAGAGAGAGGCCCTAGGAGCTAGTCCTTAGCCCCTCCAGCCCTCTCCAGCCTAGTATATAGCTCAGTTTGCTGGCTCACTCTCGTCATTGTTCGGTTCTTCAGCATTAGCTTCCCCTAACCGAGCGGCTCGCGCCGGCCGCCTTCGGCGGCCGACGCTCGACGGCGTGGCCTTCAGCCGCGCGTGAGGGGAACGGCAAGTAATAGCAGACAAAGTTGTTTATAAAAGCAATACACGCATGGCAAATCCTACCGCGGCCTAGCCGCGCATACCATCGATGGGGCAACCGGAGCCCGCGCCTACATGCGGTGAGCTCCAAGGGCATGAAGAACGCCCGTCAGGGAGCGCCACAGCTCCCGGACCACAAGCGTGCTTGCGCCGATCGCCGCGGCTCCAGATCCTGCGCGCAAGTGCCGCCTCAAGCCCCGGACAGCCTCGTCAAGCTGTCCCGCAGCAGCAGCGCCACCCTCCGCGGGCGCAGCCAGCACGGGCGCCAGCAGCACTGCGAGCTGGTCCGCCGCGTCCAGGCAAGTGTCACGTTGGCAGCCACGGAAGGTCTCTGGAGGGATCACGGGGAGAGACGAGTGGGCCAGCACCTGAATCAGCAGCAGCGCGTGGAGACTGTCAGCAAGGCGGTGGAGCTATCCGAGAGTCGCCTCGGGAACACGGGTCTGCGAAGGCTGGAGTGCCTCCGCCAGGAACTGGAGCGTCTCATCATCAGCAACTTGAAGTGCATTCGGAGCCACCGCCGCGCCACCACCTGAGGCCACAAACTCCACTCCCGCTATGGGAGGAACCGGTGGCAGATGGAGACGAGAGCCAGGAGCAGGTGCCGAGACAGCGGGAGAAGGAGCTGGCAGCGCATGGATCAGGGGAGGAGGGGCAGCGACAGGCTGCGGGCTCACAGGGAGCACAGCCGGACGAGGAGCCTCGTGGGCTGGCGAGGCGCGCATCGAACTGCTCTGGCTCTGCGCCGCCCTATCCTCACGAACCGCCCTCGACACTTCTCGCTGAAGATCCGCCATCGTCACGGGCGGGCGGTACCCCCCACCCTCGCCATGAGCACGGGGACCCCTCTAATCCCCCTGACCTCCGGGGTGAGCAGGCCAGTGCGACTGTTGCTGATAACGCCGTGGAGACTCACGCCGGCGATGAGACGACTTGCGCTCCTGGTGGGGCGCGGGGGAATGGGGGCGCGACGAGCGATGGTCGGGCGACGGAGGGCGTGACGGTTGACCTGCTGGGGCCATCGGCGTCACAGCAGGTGAGGACTGACCCGCCGCCGAGGGCGCAACCAACGGAACCGGTCCGCCAGTGGTGGCGGACGCCGCCTTCGGTGATGAAGCAGAGGCCGGAGCAGGCACGCCGGGGACAGAAGCGGGCGGCGCAACAGGGGCGCCAGGGACAGGCTCAGGGGGATCAGCAAAACCCCCAACAAGGGAAGACGCCAATGGCTCGACAAGGGGAGCCGGGGGGAGCCGCATGCGGAGCAGACGGAACAGCAGCCGGGGCAGACGGGCCAGCCCCCGACGCGGCAAGGGGATCCGCGGGTGCGTGGAGAGGAGTCCTTTCAGAGGCTGTTGTCGAGGGTTTCGGAGCCGGCGGTAGAGGGGGCTTCGTCGCCATGGTCACCCTTTCGGGCTCCGCCGGAGGCTTGGAGGCCGCAGCCAACCAGGCGGCAACGAGCTCTGGCGACGGCTCACGCGCACCAGCAATCACCATCGCGGAAGCGGGGAGGCTGCGGGACTAGGAGACAAGCTGCAAGCGGGACATGCGGAGGGCCGGAGAACGGGTATCAGGTAGCAGCAAGAAAGGCTTTAAATGACCTGGAAGCGACTAATGAGGACGGCGAGCTTAACGACGCTTCATATAGGGAAGAAGCCCTCCCTGCGAGCGAGGATGAAGAGACGAAAGAGGAAGGCAGGGTGAGGGAGAGACCAGGGAGAAGGGAAGCAGCGGTAGGGCAGAGATCTTTGCAAGTACCACAGATGGCTCAAGCTCCGTCCGATGCCGATCGGACAGATGCAATTCCAACCTTGAGCCCACCAGCGAGGCCGGGCCGCGCTGGGCGAAATCGAACCACCGCTGCTGGTAGTGCGACACGCCCTCCAACACCAATTCCCCGCTACTTTTCACCTGACGATTTAGCAAAGCGGACAGACCTGTTCGCTGCCATCGTGAATTGGGACACCGCAACTCTTTGCGACAGTCGTCAGCCTGCACTGTCGCGGCGTTTACCGCCAAACCTGTGCCAGCTGTTTTCGCTAGCACTCCTGACACCGTTACTGCACCTATCGCGAAACCCAGAGTCGGAAACGGCCTGGCACCTGTTGCTGTTTCTCCTGCATCTAACACTTCACCAGACCTCGCCGCAGCGACCGAACTGGCCACGTGTCAAAGCCCGGCTACGTGCTTTCCAGCGTGGCGAGTGGGAGCAGTTGTACCAGGACGCGTTGGATGCAGTCAACACACCGCCACCGCCAAAACACCAGCCAGACGTGATGTCACGATTCTAATATTTGCGTAGACATTAGATATAACTTCGTGACTATTTAGGATAACGAAAGGCTACAGTATAAAGGATATCGAGGGAGTCGGCTAGAGCCGAATCAATTGAACTGAAAACTAGGAATTGGCGGGCGAACGGGGGACCGTTAACATAACGGTAACCCTTCGCTAGTACTTAAGAAAGTATGCAAGCTTAGAGAAGATGCTTGCGTGATTGTTTTCTCACCTATGCTTACAACTTCTGATATCTCTCAGCGAAGGACAAGCACGAGGAACCACCCCACGCAAGCAATCTAGCAGACAATCAACCACTCTTCCAACCAGCCGAGCTAGGGTTTGAACAATAGCACGGTTGGAGGAAAGGACTTTTCAACAATCACGCAAGCATCGCCGATGAACAGTCGCGAGTCAGTACGAACTAGACTGTGGAACGACGCCGGCGAGTTGAAGCCTACATCGGGGTGGCGCGCCGATACTAAGGCTGCGCGTGGACATTTAGGTGCCGCGCGCCCGGACTCGGACTCATCTAGGAACCGGACGCCTCATCAACGAGCCCGTGCGGCTAGAGTTCACATGGAGGGAGAAACGACCGTCGTCTCGGACGCGGGAGAGACGCTACGCGACCCTCGATGGACTGAAGTAATACGGGAACGGTGGAAGACTCAGGAGGAGCATACCCCGCAGATCGGGATGCCCGGGATGACCACGACGAAGGGAAGATATAACCAGCCCTGTTCCCAGAGCGGCGGCCCCGAGCGGGAGATGCGGCCCGGAGCAGCTCTATTTCACAGTGGTGTCGCTGTCGAGTCCGACGACCCGTTCGACGGACCCGGCAGCCGTGGAATGCGCAGGAAGGCGACAAACTTGCCCAAAGTGGAGGTAGCGGAACGGTACACGGGTATTCCAGGCGTGGGACTGAGTCTGAAGAATTACCTCATGCAGCTCGAGACCGTCCAGTACTGCTGGGAGCGCGACGGATACGACCCGGCCGAGTTCTTCCGGAAAATGGCGGGGACCTTGGCGGGCGAAGCGGAGACGTTCTATCGTCTGACGAGGGACGAGGTCTTAGCAGAACTAGCGGAAGAGGAAATCACGAACCCGACGGCTCGGTTCTTACAAATGCTGCGGAAGGAGTTTCGGGACTTCCGACGGAAGAAGGAAGAGTCGTTGTTGGCTTACTACTGTCGACTCCGGGAACTGGCGGAGGACTTGGAATGCAAGGAGGAACGCCTGCTTGTGCGGAAATTCGTGTGTGGGCTGGACGATGAGCTGAAGGGAGTAGTCCGGAGCACCGTTTACAACATCGGCGCCGACATCACCCTTAAAGAAGTTTACCTGCTGACGAAGAGGACGGAGCAGGCGCAACGACTGCTGGATCTGGAGGACTCAGAAGGAAGGAGTCGGACGAGGACGAGCTGGGCAGCCGCGGCAGTCCCCGACCCATCCCCTGGAGGAAGCGGCCGCCCCGACCCCAGGCTCTATCATACATGCGGGGAGCATGGACATTTGAAGAGAGACTGCCCCAAATCGCCGACCTGCGAGCAGTGCGGGAAACGCGGACACCGGAAAGAAGACTGTTACCGCCGTCCGAAGGAAGCGCTGGGAGCGACTCGGGAGGAGCTCCAAGCCGAAGTCCGGCGGCTGCAGCTACGACTGGAGCAGTTCCCTACTCCGAAAGATGTCAAAGCACGGGCGCTACTGGCGTACGAAGAAGTCGACGAGGCCGAAGAGGAGGGGGAGGAGGATTACCAGCGGGAGTACGCTGTGATGGCGTATCCTTGATTGCGGGATGACCTCAGCCTCTGGCCCAGGGTCAGCCAATCCCAGGAAAGTGGGGTAACGGGCGGGGCCCGCCCCCGGAACAGTCAGACGGAGAGATCGCGCCCTGCAGATATGAGACGACACCCGAATGAGCGGCTAGTGTGCCAGGCGTCGGTGCCGATTGCCGAGAAAGGGAGTCTCACTGTGGGGGGCCTACCCGTGAAGCAGGCAATCATAGATACGGGCGCGCACCACATGCTGCTAGGAAAGGGACTCGCTAAACAGTTAAAGCTGGACGTGGCCGGGAGAACCGTGGAAAGGGGGATATTACTCATGACGGCCGAGGGAGGAGAACCCAAGTGGATGCCAAAAACGCGGAGGCCCGTGGAGGTGGTACTCTTACCGGGGACGGAGAAGGAGTGTTGCATCAGGCTGCAGTGCGGCGTCTCAGAATCGGAAGATTACGACGTCCTCATGGGGATGGAACTCCTCTACCGGGTGGGAGCCACTATCTATACTTGGCAGGAGAAAGTGCTATTCCGCGCGCAGTACTGGGACCCGGAGAGCGCCGTAGGTACGCTGCCAGTACGGTTCGTGCGGCAGGAGCCGCGGGAAGCATATCAAGCGCAAAAGCGGGATCTGACGGAAGAGCTGGAGGAATGGCCTTGGGAGAAGTACGAGGAGGAATACGAACGGAGGATAGAGAGACGGCTCGCGGGACGCAGCCCAGCAGATCTGAAGGAACGTGTCAGTCGCGTGCAGACCTTGGACGCTCTCATCTGCCTCCTGGAGCTATATGGGGGAATCGGGACGGGCCTGGCTGCAGCGCTGCGAGCTGGGTGCACGATCAAGCGATGGATACATGTCGAGCGCGATCCAGTCGTGCGCAAGATGGCCAGGCACCACGCCTTGTTGCTGCGAGATGAGTATCCGGACCAGATGTGGGAGGACGCCATCCTGCTGGAAGCAGAGCAGGGGGTCCATGACCTAAGGGACATTTCCGAAAGTGTGCTGGATCGGTGGGGACAGGTGGACCTGGTGATCGCCGGATGGGAATGTCAAGGGTACTCCAGGGCCGAGGAAGGACTGGGGATGGACGACGTCAGAGGCGCGTGAGAAGAAACAAGGAAAATGAATGTACTATGAATGAATTGAGTACAAGTAATAACCCTAATTGGGTTGTACCCCTTATGGACTACCCCACTATAGCCTACACAATATGCATGAGCTATAATGTTCTGACACACCCCCATAGGCAAAGTGGGGGAGAACAAGGGGTCACAAGACCAGTCAAGTAAAGCAAATCAAAGCAAGCTCAGGGTGGATCACAAAGTCACCACACATTCCGAGCACAAGTTCAAGGCCACAAGGCCAGTTCACATGCAGGAGTACATATATATAAAAAGGCTAGACAAGCAAGAGCAGGTATATATATATGTAACAGTACAAGCACGGTCAAGAGGTGAGCAAGTGAGGCAAGGTAGGCACAAGGCCCAGCTGAGTACAGAAGCGCTGATGGTCACAAGGCGCAAGCGCCTTGGTGAAGATATCAGCAGTGTTGGCCTCAGAGGCCACGTACGCAAGATGCAGCTGACCACGCTGCTGCAGCTCACGAGCAAGAAAGTAGCGGAGAGCAATGTGCTTCGTTCTGTGCTCCAGTCGCTGCTCCCGACACAAGGCCAGCATGGCCTTGTTGTCTACGTACAGCACTGGAGGAGAACGAGGCGGCTCTCCGAGGTCAGTCAGCAGGTAGGTGAGCCAGCGAAGCTCCTGTGCAGCCATGGCTCCTGCGTAGATCTCAGCCTCACAACTGGAGCCGAGAACAGAAGACGAGCGAGTAGCCCGCCACGAAACAGAGCCGGAACCAAGGCTGAAGGTGTAACCCTGTGACGACCGCTGCGTAGCCTGGTCGTCAGCCCAAGAAGCGTCTGCGTGCCCAGTAAGGACCACTGGACTCTGCCCTCCAAGCACAAGCCCCATGCCCGACGTACTGCACAAGTAGCGCAACACCCTCTTCGCTGCAGCCATGTGCTCCGGTCTGTGTCTCCCAGGAGCAACATAGCGTGCGAGAATGCTAAGAGGGTATGCAAGGTCAGGTCGTGTGCAGGTCATCAGGTACATGAGGCAGCCAACAAGCTCTGGGTACGGGCCACTCGACTCTACGGACTCATCCGAAGGCAGAGCTGAGAGCGAGTGGCGAGTAGGCAGAGGAGTGGCCTGAGGCGAGGAGTACGTGAAGCCGAAGCGCTGAAGGACCTGCTGCACCATGTGTGACTGAGTCAGGGTAATGGTGCGGCGTGCTCTGTCCCGAGTGATCTGCAAGCCAAGGTAGCTGCGCAGTTCACCCAGGTCAGTGCACGTGTGTCTCTTCTGCAGCTCGGACTTCACGTGGGCGAGTCCAGCAGTGTCAGCTGTGGCAAAGACCAAGTCGTCGACGTACACGAGGATGTAGAACGGCGGCAAAGAAGTGTCGGTGCGCAG